TAAGCAGGTTGTATTGAATACAGGAAGGGTTGGTACATGCTGCTGTGTAAGTGCTTCCTTCATTCATCGTTCTCTCTCTATATATCTATCTTTCTCTCGCTCTCTCCCTCCTTTATCTCGCTCGCTTTCTCTAGACTGGTCAGGTGTAGAGTTAAGGCTGAACTCTAAGGAGACTGGTCAGATGGTCATCAGCACAGAGGTTAAGTTCTACAACTGCAGTGTCCACCAACTGTGAGTATCCTTCCTTATCTCCTCCCCCTGCAACCCTGGGCCAGTGTTCACTGCTGATCTAGGATCAGCTAGGATTCCCATTTAGATCATTATGAGTAAAATTATATGGACAGGGGGGACCTGATCCTAGGTCAGTATTTGTGAATACCGGCCCTGGAGTCCTGCAGTCCCGGAGCACACTACTGAATCAATACTGTGTGAATCTGTTACAGTGTCCCTACTTCCTAACCTTGCCTGCCCTCAGTCTGAGCCTCGAAAACCCTAAAATAGCCCCTGTGATGTCTAATGCAATCTGATCTAAGCTGTTCCCTCCCTTGAGCTCTACAACGGAAACCTCTGGTCATTGACATAATGAATCCTTGATCACTGCCATGTAGAAACACTGCTTATTGTATGCTCTTAGTCTGACACTGGCTCTGTTGGATGTCATGGCCCTGTGTTTTGTTTTGAAAGGCCTCTCCTCTGCCCTCCACCCTCACCTCCTCTCTAGTGTCAGTGTCTGACTGTGTCCTTGTGTCTGTAGTCAGTCTGAGGAGCCTGTCTGAGTGGAACACAAAGTCACAGTGAACGCTATTAAGAGCTCCCACGTCTACTCAGATAATCAGGGAGTAATCAGGGAGCATAGCTCGTACGTACTCAAGTTTAGAAGGCTGACATAACACACACTCCAACCTGGTCTCAGAGCATTTTGTATTATTCTGAACGCATGGTATGTATTCATTTGTGGATGTCCATCACCCATTTCATATGATTTATTACGAATTACAATTAGTATTATATGTTATGAATTTGCAAAACGTACAATATGTTACGAATTTCAAAAACATATGATATGTTACAAATTCTAGCTAGGTGGCTAACGTTAACTAGCTAGCTAATGTTAGCTAGGCTAGGGGTTAGGGTTAATGTTAGGGTTAAGTTAAGGAGTTAGGTTAAAGAGTTAAGGTTAGGGTTAGGGGATGGGTTAGCTAAAAGGGTTAAGGTTAGGGTTAGGGGATGGGTTAGCTAAAAGGGTTAAGGTTAGGGTTAGGGGAAGGGTTAGCTAAAAGGGGTAAGGTTAGGGGAAGGGTTTGCTAACATGCTGAGTAGTTAAAAATCAGTAAGTAGTTGAAAAGTTCCTGATTAGCTAAATTGCTAAAGTTGTCCGTGATGAGTTTCGAACTTGCAACCTTTGAGTTGCTAGACGTTTGCGTTATACAACCACCAATCCACCCCGACACCCACCCTACTTTCGTTTTTGTCTTAAGTACAGTGAAGGAAAAAAGTATTTGATCCCCTGCTGATTTTGTTAAAGGGAGTGCTCCTAATCTCAGCTTGTTACCTGTATAAAAGACACCTATCCACAGAAGCAATCAATCAATCAGATTCCAAAATGGCCAAGACCAAAGAGCTCTCCAAGGATGTCAGGGACAAGATTGTAGACCTACACAAGGCTGGAATGGGCTACAAGACCATCGCCAAGCAGCTTGGTGAGAAGGTGACAACAGTTGGTGCGATTATTCGCAAATGGAAGAAACACAAAAGAACTGTCAATCTCCCTCGGCCTGGAGCTCCATGCATCTCACCTCGTGGAGTTGCAATGATCATGAGAACGGTGAGGAATCAGCCCAGAACTACACGGGAGGATAATGTCAATGATCTCAAGGCAGCTGGGACCATAGTCACCAAGAAAACAATTGGTAACACACTACGCCGTGAAAGACTGAAATCCTGCAGCGCCTGCAAGGTCCCCTTGCTCAAGAAAGCACATATACAGGGCCGTCTGAAGTTTGCCAATGAACATCTGAATGATTCAGAGGAGAACTGGGTGAAAGTGTTGTGGTCAGATGAGACCAAAATCGAGCTCTTTGGCATCAACTCAACTTGCCGTGTTTGGAGGAGGAGGAATGCTGCCTATGACCCCAAGAACACCATCCCCACCGTCAAACATGGAGGTGGAAACATTATGCTTTGGGGGTGTTTTTCTGCTAAGGGGACAGGACAACTTCACCTCATCAAAGGGACAATGGACAGGGCCATGTACAGTCAAATCTTGGGTGAGAACCTCCTTCCCTCTGCCAGGGCATTGAAAATGGGTAGTGGATGGGTATTCCAGCATGACAATGACCCAAAATACACGGCCAAGGCAACAAAGGAGTGGCTCAAGAAGAAGCACATTAAGGTCCTGGAGTGGCCTAGCCAGCCTCCAGACCTTAATCCCATAGAAAATCTGTGGAGGGAGCTGAAGGTTCGAGTTGCCAAACGTCAGGCTCGAAACCTTAATGACTTGGAGAAGATCTGCAAAATCCCTCCTGAGATGTGTGCAAACCTGGTGGCCAACTACAAGAAACGTCTGACCTCTGTGATTGCCAACAAGGGTTTTGCCACCAAGTACTAAGTCATGTTTTGCAGAGGGGTCAAATACTTATTTCCCTCATTAAAATGCAAATCAATTCATAACATTTTTGACATGCGTTTTTCTGGATTTTTTTTGTTGTTATTCTGTCTCTCACTGTTCAAATAAACCTACCATTAAAATTATAGACTGATCATTTCTTTGTCAGTGGGCAAACGTACAAAATCAGCAGGGGCTCAAATACTTTTTTCCCTCACTGTAACTATCTGTCTTATGTAACCATACCAAACGTAACATATCATACTATACTGAACAAAAATATAAACGCAACATGCAACAATTTCAAAGATTTCAATGAGTTACAGTTCATATAAGGAAATCAGTCAATTGAAATAAATTCGTTAGGGCCTAATTTATGGATTTCAATTTACTGGTTAGACAGATATGCATCTGTTGGCCACAGATACCCAGAGCACGTACACGTCAATCCAGAGCATCCCAAACATGCTCAATGGGTGACATGTCTGGTGAGTATACGGGCCATGGAAGAGCTGGGACATTTTCAGCTTCCAGGAATTGTGTACAGATCCTTGCGACATGAAACCAACACTTGTTGCGTTTATATTTTTGTTCAGTGTAATTTGAGTGTCTCGGATTTATGTTTACTATGTTATGTCTAGTCTATGAGACCAGGCTCACACACACACACACACACACACACACACACACACACACACACACACACACACACACACACACACACATACTTAAAGAGATACACAAACACACACACATACAGACACACACACTGCCATGTCGGCGGTTCAATCAGCCTCATTCTTCTGAATTAGTGTGTGCTTGCCGGGGATCCCTCCCATGCTTTTGCACTGGTGAATATTTCAGCATAAGTATGCATAATTTATCCAGCCTCGTTGCAAGGAAGGAAAAGAAAATAGAAGCATAGCCCAATGAGACTTTACCTCCCTCCAACAATGACTTCCTCAATATACTGTACGGTAAGACTATCAGGAGGGAACAATTACTGTACCAGTCATAGGGTTAGTCCAAAATGGCACCCTATTTGCGGCCCCTGGTCAAAAGTAGTGCACTATATAGGCAATAGGATGCTATTTCAGACACAGTCATAGAGACCTGGACCTCCTGTCTATGGGATCCAAACAGAAGAGTCAGAAAATGTTACAAACATTTCAATCAACATCACTGTAATGCAACCCTAAGGAGACAGACTTTCAGGCCAAGGCTTACATCACGGTGCTTCCTGAAGCTCTACACCCTAACCTTCTGACAACTACACTCTAATGTCCCCTTCCTAATGTCCCCTTCCTCCCTTCCTGAGAGATCTGAGCCATGATGTTGGCAGGCACACATGCGCATAACGTTGGCACACACGCAGGCACAAGAGCATGCATGCACACACACACACACACACACACACACACCCTGTCGTCATCCTATGCCCTAGGCTGTGTCTGCTGTTTGCCATCCCTCCACATCCTCTAGCCCTCCTCCCTCATCTCATTCAACACAGGATGAACACAGGGACATGGTTTGGGGTTGGGGGGTTATGCATGCAGTATGCATACACAGAAGATGCCAGCTATATCTCTACCCCACCCCCCCCCCCCCCCCCCCATTCCCACCCTGCCCAGGGCATCTATAGCAGCACGTGGGCACTGTGCCCCCTGCCAGCTGGTAATTACAACCACATTACAACAATACTGGCCTAATGGTAATGAAAGAATCAAGCTGTGCCAACGTCTTATTCGTCCCCATAACTCACTTTACCTCCCTCCCTCCCTGACTTTGTACCCTACACTCTTAGAATAAAAGGTGCTATCTAGAACCTAAAAGGGTTCTACTGCTGTCCCCATAGGAGAACCCTTTGAAGAACCCTTATTGGTTCCAGGTAGAACCCTTTTGGTTCCAGGTAAAACCCTTTTGGGTTCCATGTAGAACCCTTTCCACATTCGGTTCTTCATGGAACCCAAAAGGGTTCTACCTGGAACCAAAAAGGGTTCTTCTATGGGGACAGCCGAATAACTATTTTGAAACCCTTTATTCCCTATTTAGTGTACTACTTTTGGGTCAAAAGTAGTGCATATGTAGAGAATAGGGTGCCATTTGGGACAAAGCCATGCTTTCTGTGTCCAGGGGCCTGCAGTATGCTGTGCTGCTGCCTCTATTCATACATACACATTATAGTTCCACTAGAAACTACTTGGGCTGCTGGGGTTGGCACACTTGTACAGGAACTAGGAGGTACCGTGCCAACCAGAAGGGCATCAACAGCATGTGCCCACTTGGGATCTGCTGCACTCGGTTCCTCCTTTTGTGCCATCCTCCTCCCACTTGACTAGTGCAGCTTCCTGAGTGTATGTCCTGTCCTGTCCATCTGTCTGTCCCTCCGTGCAGGTGTCTGTCCTGTGTGAACAGTGCCTTCCGCTGCCATTGGTGCAAGTACCGTAACCTGTGTACCCACGACCCTTCCAGCTGCTCCTTCCAAGAGGGACGCGTCAACGCCTCCGAGGTATGTACCGTACACTCTCTCTCTCTCTCCCTCCCTCCCTCCCTCCTGTCAGCCTGAGGGGCATGTCTCCAAACAGACACATCTAAGCCCCTCCATATTGACGTTTGCCATTCAAACCCTATGTATTTGGTACTAGCAATTAGAAGTCTATTATCAGAGCCTTTTAACACCTCTGTAACAATGACATGGGATGTTTTGACAAAATCAATCAGGTTGTTTATGTGTATATGTGTATGAGTGGCACAGCGTGTGTGTGTGTGTGGTGTGTGTGTTCTATGATAGAGATTCCACTGATGTTGGCTGCTCACACCCTGCTGTGTGACAGTGGTTAAGGAGTGTGTTCACCTATCGGGGTGTAAAGCAACACATTGATCTGTATGCCTGAGAGAGAGGATAGACTACTGCTGCAGAAGAGATGAGGACAGTTGCCTCTCTCTCTCTTCACACTTCCCTTTTCAAATACACCACAGAGACCTACTGCGGCAGCACTGACTGATTCACAGCACACACTCTCTCTCTCTCACACACACACACACACACACACACTTACTGATACACACATACATACTGCTGTAGCTATTATTGGCCTCCCCTCCCCCCAGCGTGTTATGATCCTGCAGATTTTTCCTCCGGCTGTCAGTTGTCATCAGGCGCAAAGCACCGGCAGCCATTTTAGAAGACTGACCATCTGAAGTGATCCTATTATGTGAGGCTTTGGAGTGGAAGAAGTGGAGCAGCCAACACTCTTCAGCACCAGCCAGGAAGGGATGCCCGTATGACCCTGTTTGACCCTGCTGTTGCCTCCCCTCTCCCTCCACCACTTCCCCTGTCAAGGGTTTTTGATCTCTCACATACCAAGAGAACACTATTTTACCCAGCTGGCCTTGCTGTGTCTGTTCTTCTGTTGTTGTTATATTTATTTATTATATGTTATATACCTTTGACCCTCCCATCCCCCCTCTCCAGGACTGTCCTCAGCTGGTACGTTCGGAGGAGATTCTGATCCCGGCTGGGGAGGTGAAGCCCATCACCCTGAAGGCCCGGAACCTCCCCCAGCCCCAGTCAGGCCAGCGGGGGTACGAGTGTGTCCTCCACATCCAGGGGGTCAGCCACCGAGTCACCGCCCTGCGCTTCAACAGCTCCTCTGTACAGTGTCAGAACAGCTCGGTGGGTACACACTGCAGGGCATGGAGACACGCTAAAACACATGATGGACACTCACAGCAACACACGGTAGCTAGCAAAGGCTCACATTCACATAAACACATACTGCAGGAGAGCAAACAAAAACGTACAGCACATGAACACAGCATACTGTCTATGTATTCAGATGAAAACACGTTTTCCATTTCTCTCTTACTCACAAAGCCAGATGTATCCACATTACATTATTTTCACTTTATCACCACAGCACCCCGGTTAATTCATAAATTCACTCCATTTGTAACACAATATCAATTCCCATTTTGCACTTAAGCCCATTTACACTCTGTGTCAATGAATGTCAATGATTGTCAGACTGTCAGTGAGTATCAGTGTCTGAGAAGAACCAGCTCCAGTGGTGTGAGGCCCCTGGCCATGTCACCTGTATCCAGCAGCGGTACCCTGTCAGTGGGGAGGCTGGGGGAGAGATGGGTCCTGACTTGGGTAATTACACAGGACAGCACAGGAGAGGAGAAAACTGTAGTAAGGCTCTGCTCTGCCCTCCAGCGAGGCTCATACTGACTCCAGCACTATTCCTAGAGGACACACACAGAGACACACAAACACACACAGACAGCCAGGAGGGAAGCAGCTCAGGACAGCACCTCCGTGAAAGGAGGGGACATCCAAATCCAGAAGGACTCCACTTAACTCTCCTCTCAAATGAGGTGGTGATGCAAGGTTGTAGCAACGTTGGGGGACCATTCAACATGCAGCACCAGGCTCAGGGTTTTGGGGCAGGGGTTTAAGTTTCTCATGCTGAAATTCTTTCTTCTCCCCCCTTCCCTCTCTTTTTTTCTCTCTTTCCCTTTCTTTTGCTCTCCCTCTTTTGCTCGGTCTCTCCCTCTTCCTTTCTTTTTTGCACTGTTTCTTCCCTCTCTCCCCCTTCTCTTTCTTTCCCTCCCTCCCTCCCACCCTCCTGCCTACCTTCCTTCCTTCCTCCCTCCTTCCCTCTCTTTCTCTCCCTCCTGCAGTATCTTTATGAAGGGATGAAGATCAGTGAGTTGCCAGTGGATTTCTCAGTGGTCTGGAATGGCAACTTCATTATAGACAACCCAGATAATATACAAGGTAAGACTGACACACACACAAAACAAACACGGACACACATTCAGATTTGTTGACATATCTCACCAACACATAAAACAGATGTTTCTTGTCAAATAACATCTTGTCTCAGCTGGAGACCAGTCAGACACAGCATAATACCTGCTTTTACCCAAACAAATGTTTTAACCAACGAAAGTTTGTCATTATCGAAAGGTTGTCAAATCAAATGCTGTTTGCTGTTTTTACCACTGTTGTGTTTGACCTGAGTCCTCCTGTATCCCACAGTGCACCTGTATAAATGTGCGGCCCAGAGGGATAGCTGTGGCATGTGTTTGAAAGCCCAGAGGAAGTTCCAGTGTGGCTGGTGTAGTGGAGAGGGCCGTTGTACCCTGCGCCACCACTGCCCGCCGCTCAACCCCCGCTGGCTAGACCTCTCCAGCAAGAACGTCAAGTGTACCAACCCCCGCATCACAGAGGTCAGTGATAACACACACACAGATAGACACACACCTAGACCCCCTCGACCCTCTCACACCCCTCTCTTTTCCTTCACCACCATAATGTTACACTTACTTGTCCTCTGCATCTATCGCCTTTAGCTTTAACTTGGCGTAGCCCTGAATGATATGGTGAAATATTATGTATCTGCCTGATTCGTACTAAACAAAACAACAACAGGTAGGCAGTAAAGTTGATGCTGCTTACGGTTGGGTGTACAATTTGATCTGTACACAGTTATCCTTCAATTGAGATCAACAACAACAGACTTAGAGCAGACAAGTATAGCTCTTGACAATGAAAGGTCGTATTTGCATTGTGAGGCCTACATGGCAGAAGTGGTTTGGTCTGGTCTGAACTTGTCTGGTCTATGTGAATGAGAATCCCCTCGGCTGTGCCCCCACTTGTGGTGCTGCAAAGAGCTAGATGGGCTCTCTACCTCTCTCTCTCTCTCTCTCTCTCGCTCTCACTCCTCTCTCTCTCTCTCTCTCTCGCTCTCATCCCTCTCTCTCTCTCATCTCTCTCCACCTTTCTCTCTCTCTCCACCTTTCTCTCACTCTCTCTCTCTACCTTTCTCGCTCTCTCTCTCTCTCCACCTTTCTCTTTCTCTCTCTCTCTCTCCACCTCTCTCACACTCTCACTCTTTCTTTCTCTCTCTGTCTTTATCTCCTATCTCTCTTTCTCTCCTTCTCCCACACACAATCAATATGCAGGGAGAGAGCATATCGTGTTTATTTTCACTGAAGAGCAAAAGTGAGTGTGTGTGTGTGTGTGTGTGTGTGTGTGTGTGTGAGTGTGTCACCTTCAGCTGCACTGCAAGGGTGAGGTACCTGACACATACACCCTAGAGGCCTGCCTCAGTGACTCTCTCTAGTGTGCCAGCTTGCTTCCTGTCTATCTGTTCCACGTGCCACTTTTTTTTTAGATATGTGTGTGCTTGTTTTAACTGGAGCTCCCAGTTTAAAAAGGAGTTCAATTTAATTTAATGTTCACACCAGTACAGTGAAAAACATTACAGTACACTGTTTTAACTAAAAATAATAGGCGACCAGCCTCTAGTAGTGAAGCAACTATCCCTGCTTGAGTTCCCCAGACAGACTTAGTCTCATTGAGGCAAGCTTATCGACGTAGCAGACTATTCAGACAGTGAAGTGCATTAGAGTAAGAGGAGAAGCAGCTATTGATTTGTGCCATGACAGAGCCCTTTCTCACACAGTCGCCCTGGCTCCCACTTGACAACAATGCCCAACCCTGCGACTGTCCCCCATGACCAGGAAGTGGGCTGGCGATATGGCCAAAATATCATAGCACGGTATTTTTCAAATGTATTTTTCAAATATATTACAGTATTTGATGTTTTTGAATAATAAAAGTTCTAAATATGCTTTCTGAGTAGTTCATGACCCTAAGGTGGAAGCACATACATTATGAGTGATTTCATTGGGGGCTTTCTTCATTCTGATTGTTTTATACTGTTCAATCCAACTTCAAACTAAAATAATTTTCAGCATTTTCATCAATTTCTGCATTTCCTGCACTTTTATTATCATTTCCACACTGTGCCCCACAGAGCTGCATAATATGGGCAAAAAATATAGGCCTAGTTAATTGGTGAACTGTTGGAATCATGTAAATAGAATGATTAATCTAATTCTATAGTTGGAATATAGAGGGCAGCACCTTGAATACATTGTTTGACATGACAACGAATGAAGAACCCAGGGAGGAATTATTGACAGGGTAGGAACCATGTTGGTCAGTGTTTCCAGGGAACACTAATTAGATGTTACATTACATGTTTTCTTCCCTCATGTAGCAATCTAACATATTCATGCTTCGCCTATTCCTCTCTGATTTGGAAGATACCGTTGCACAAACAACATGCTTATCTAGGCCTACACCAGCACTGGTACTAGGCTGTATTAGCTAGCTAAGTTTGCTCTGATTTAGCTATTTATTTAACTAGCGATTAGCATTAGCGGCTAACACGATTTATTTTAGCTAGAACTTGCTAATAAAAGACAAACTAGCAGACAGTAGTTTGCAGACAGTAAGATACACAAACTAATAATGTAATTATAGAACGCTTGTAGAAAGCAGCATCGTTGTCACCAACATTTTTCTGGATCTGACCAGTAGACTGCAGAATGAAAGGCAAGAAAGTGCTTGTGACTCCATGGTCGACCAACTGCTCTCTCCTTGAGGGGCTTGGTGTGGGAAGCAGTGTGCAGCAGGAGGAGAGGGAGAAAGACGAGTCAAGTAGCAAACCATGAAAGCGGACCAATGTTGAATATCACATTTAACAAAACAAAGATTGAAATACCGCTATAGAAGGTAAAGTAAACACCCAACTGGTTCCTGCATCAATACCGGTATATAGTAAAATAAGGTATATCGCCCAAATTTCATTTAATTAGGTTTGGTAATCACAAGTAAGTGCTCTGTGTTTAACCCCCGGACCACAGCACCTACCTATACATTGATTCATTAGGCTATACGCTCCCCACTGTGTATTCAGAAATAACCACAGCCAATATATAGTTAAAGACATCCCTAATTGATTTGCTATAGTGAACTCTGATTAGGCAGGCTACGCCAGGGTGGGTGTTATGAGGATCTACTTCTCTTGTAGCTTTTTCTCCCTCTCTCTTTATCTCCCTCTCTTCCCCACTTTTTCTCTCCCTCTTTCCCTCTCTTTTTCTCTCTATCTCCCTCTCTTCCCCACTCTTTCTCTCCCTCTTTCCCTCTCTTGTTCTCTGTTTCTCTCTCTTTCTCACTCTCTCCTTCTCTTTCTGTTTCCCTCCATCCATCTCTCCCTCTCCTGTGTCTGTCCGTGTATCTCTCTCTATGAGTCATTCTAGTAAATTAAATTACTGTCATTCTGAGTTATCTGACACAGCGAAGTGTGTGTGACTGACAGTGTATGTGGGTGTGTGTGTGTACTTGTGTGTGTGGACTTTAACAAGCAGTAACCCTATGGGCACATATCTCATTCAGCTCCCAGTTTTCATTAGTGAAGTGAGTAGTGTATGTGATTACCACGGACACACTGAGTGGACTTCTCCATTCCTCACTCTGAGTAGTAGGTTAGAGGGATATCAGTGGAGAAAGTAGCTGAGGAAGAGAGATTAGAACAGAGCAGAAGCAGCTAAACAGAGGGAGGGAACGAGAGACAGATATACAGAGAGAGAGATGGAAGGAAAGTAGTGTAGAAACCTACCAAAAAACAATTAGGCAAGAACAAATTCAATCCCTTCTAGACAACTTCCTGGACAAAATGTTTCACTGTAATAGTGAAGGTGTAAACTTGGCAGTAGAAAAGCTCAACCGTTTATTTGACCTCTCAGCTTCCCTATCACATCAAAATATTTCAAGCAGACAACCTAAGAAAATTAACAACAATGACGTTTGAT